GGCTTCAGCACCGCTCCCTTTGGCCCCGCCCCCTTCACCCACCGGAACTACATTTCCCAGAAGGCCGCGCGTCCTGGGCACGCGCAGCAGAGCGCTCGGAAGCTGCGACGCCGAGTTTCGCTCTGACTGTCTTCTTCAGAGAGTCGGAGCCACAGCCGGATCTCTGCCCAGGCCGAGCCGGAGCTGTACTTCGAGCGCGGCGGTGCCCTCAACCTGCCCCCTTGCCCTCCACAGCCTCGGTGAGAGGGCGGGCGGACCACCTGCTCGACGCTAGGGGTGGAGTCCCGAGCGCTAGGGTGGTTTGGGAGAGACTGAGCCGAGCTGGAGCCGGAAGGGGGCGGGCGCGGGAGGGAGGCTGGGCCGGGGCGGCTGAAGAGCCCCGGGGTCCCGGGGGATTGAGACTATCGGCTTGGGGCCCGAGGTCCTGGAGGCGGTAGTTCGGCCAATTGGGAGGCGCGAGGAGTTTAGGACAGGACTGGGTGCTGGGAGCGGGAAGGACGCAGCTCCTGGGAGTTTGAGTCTGTCGGAAGCAGAGTACGTACCCCTTCCCACAGGACCTGGGGGAGGCAGTGGTGATACTGCCGCCTGGTTACCTGGAAAAGATGTGCGTTCTGCTGGGGAATAGGGGAAGGACTCAGCGGGTTGGGGGCTTTACTTTGGAAGAGTTTTCTTTACTAACCGTGCTTCACACCTCTCAAGTGGGGGGGGGTCCACCTTCCCGGAAGTTCTTGTTTCCTGGGGCCCTGAGTCCCTTCTGGGGATCGTGTACAGTGTGCTGAAGAAAATTTCGAACTCTTCCTTTTTCTGGAGCTGCGCTTTCATCATCCCGCCTTTCTCAGTCAGCCGCTGTGCTGCACGCTACCTCCACTTTTCCTAAGCGCCTACCTCTATGGAATTAGGTTGTGTACAGACGCCTGGACCCCTGAGAAACTCAAAATATTTCTGCGTGGCATCCTAGCCCCTCCAGAGTTCTAGAAAGTAGACTTTCTGGTAGCCAAAATCTTACTTAAACCACCCAGATAACTAGGTCTTTTGTTCATTTGCTCTGTGACCTTGGCCAAATATTTACCCTCTCTGGTGTATTGATTTCGGAGATGGCTACACTGCCGGACTGGCTTTTGAAGTCCTTTTAGGCCAGCGGTTCTCAACCTGTGGGTCGCTACTCCTTTGGACTGTATTAAAGGTTTGCGGCATTAGAAAGGTTGAGAACTACTGTTTTGGGCCTTTCTGTGAAAGGGCTCAGGCTTTTTTTTTTTTAACCATCTCCTTAATTAAATGGGCAGAGGAAGACTATTGTACCTTCTGCTCTGCCCAGGCTGTTGGAAAATAAATCTGGTGCTTTTCAGTCCCCAGCCACAGCACATGGATCCAACATCTGTGCACTCGTTTTTACTAACTGCTGTTTCTCAATTTAAAATCTGATTATCTTCTTCCTTTTTGGCAAAGGTGCCTTGGAATTTGTGTTGCTGAGTCAGCAAGCCTTTCACATTTGCCTGGTTTTTGTTGTTTGCAATTTATATATCAAGATGGGAACTCAAACAAGTCATTCCTCCTGAAGATCTACTGTCTCCATCAAGAAGGGGCAGTTTGTGCCAGTTCTCCAGGGAGAAAAGGTGAGAGCCCTGGAGACTTTACTTTGCTGCCTTGTCAATCTGGTTTTCAGTAGAGAAAATGGGTCCTGGGGAGGGTGGATTTTGGGATCTTCAGGATGAAAGAGAACCATGGAAGTTGATTGTTGATTGCCAACTGTCTCAAATAAATTCAGGTGGCTTCTTGCCAACTGTTTCTCCTGTTTAACCGGTCTTGGAGGATAGTTTTCACTTTAAGACATGCTTTATGGGATGAAGGACATAGGTTATGATTTCTGCATTTGAACTGAAAATTTGCATTTTTTTTGTTGCATAAACCTTTTTTTTTTTTGAGACAGAGCCTCAAGCTGTCCCCCTGGGTAGAGTGCCATGGCATTACAGCTCACAGCAACCTCCAACTCCTGGGCTCAAGCGAGTCTCCTGCCTCTGCCTCCCAAGTAGCTGGGACCACAGGCGCCCGCCACAACGCCCGGCTATTTTTTGGTTGCAGCCGTCATTGTTGTTTGGCGGTCCGGGCTGGGGATTCAAACCCGCCACCTTAGGTGTACGTGGCTGGCGCCTTAGCCGGTTGAGCTATAGGCGCCGAGCCGTGTTGCATAAACCTTTACTGGTGCTGGACAGGATCTTTTTTTTTTTCTAGACAGACAAACCATAGTTAAGCAACATGTTGTCAATGTGATATGTGTTAAGCTGAAGGAATCCCAGGGCTCTCCTTTCTACCTCCAGGAGAGGGTAGGAAGAAGAGTCAGGAAGGCTTCTGGAAGATGATAGACGAGGTGAGTGGTGAAGGAGGAGCAGGACTAGAAAGTGGGGTGAAATAGTCTGGCAGGGGATTCAGCATTTGCAAAGTCATGAAGTCACCAGGGCACAGTTACTATAAGTAGCTCAGTGTGGCTGCAGCAACAAGGGGGTGAGAGTGGGCAGGAGAGGAAGCTGGACAGGTAGACAGACTGCTGAACATGAAGGGTTTTGTGGGACATTTGAGAGGTTTGGGAGTAGAAGGATGTTAGCAGAATTCCATGAGTTTTTTTTTTTTTTTGGCTAGGGCTGGGTTTGAACCCACCACCTTTGGCATATGGGGCCAGCGCCCTACCCTTTTGAGCCACAGGTGCCGCCCCCATGAGGAGTATTTTAAAGGATCATACTGGCTGGAAAGTGGAATAGATTAGATCGGATTATTCTCTGACTGTCCCCTTATACAGTGCTAGCTTCTGGTAAAGGAGAGGATGAGACATTTTGCCCTTAGTTGCTCATAGTCCAACTGAAGAGATCAAATGAACATAAAGAACTGTAAAGTACAGACAGAATGCTATGGAAATTAAGAAGGTGCTTTCTTCTTTTTTTTTTTTTGGACAGGGCTGGATTTGAACCCGTCACCTCTGGTATATGGGACTGGCGCCCTACCCTTTTGAGCCACAGGCGCCGCCCCAAGAGGGTGCGTTCTCTCTATGGGGCACCTCAAGGCATTCTGGAAGTGTTATTTAAATTGGGTCTTGAGGCTCGGCGCCTGTAGCTCAGCAGCTAGGATGCCAGCTTTATACACCAGGACTGGTGGGTTTGAACCTGGCCGGGGCCTGCCAAACAACAATGACAGCTACAGGTTGGTGCCTATGGCTCAAAGGAGTAGGGCTCCGGCCCCATATACCAGAGGTGGTGGGTTTTGGGTTCAAACCCAGCTCTGGCCAAAACTGCAAAAAACAAAAAGAAAAAAAGAATAGCTGCTACAAAAAAAAAAAAAATAGCTAGGTATTGTGGCAGG